CTCAGACAGTCTCCTTCCTTTCAGAGTAGCTGTCAGTAGAGTCTGCTGATCACCCGTATGTCTCCCTTGCAGAGACACAATAGCACCAGCGAAATCCACATCTACTAGCACGGAGCGGAAGCGTTTGTTACCAAAAAGTGCGCGGGGTTTGGGGTTATCATCAGAGGATTTCGACACCAGTGTAGAATTAGCCTCGCGGATAATTCGGCTGGAAGCCGCAATGGAGTCTCGTATCATGTTTCCCGGTAGTATAAAATCAGACGTAGCTCGTATATCAAGAGATTTTCCAGCCGCCTGAAAGGCCAGTCGAACTTCCTGACCTGATGAAGAATATGCTACATTGAAGACCAGCTCGGGCAATAAAGCCGAATTAAGAGAACGCTTTCGCCTATTGCCCGAATACGGCACCATCTGCAGCTGCATGTCTTCGATACGTAGCTTCGCAGTATTGGTTCTCTTATTGGATAGCTCCAGGCGCCTGATAGAGAAAACCAAATCATCAGGTTTGCGCCCAGATGTAGGTAGGGGAGCGGTAGACATATTCCAGCCAACCTGAATCAAGTTCAGGTCTAACGAAAACATGGCGCTGAATAGGTCCTCCGAGCGGGAGTCATCATTAACCTGTATGCTCGGAACTCTCGGTACTGCATTGCCTCGTCTTCGTAGTTTCTTGAAACGCCTGACCTCATGAGAGAGATCCAAAGTTTTGATGCGCTCTTGAAGGTGGGTTGCCATATCAACTACTAGCGCAGCCGTCTCAGGGAATAGCTCGACATCGAATCTTTTACTGCTGAAATGGAATACACGTCTGGCCTCACCGTTCTCGCGTAACATCGAAGTGCCCTGGAGCTTAGCGTCGATGATGAAACTGCAATATGAGCGACTAATTGTAGCCTCCTGCTTTCGTAAATCGAAGCTGATATTAGACGTGTCGACGTGGAAGTCTGGGTGTTCCATGGGGTGCCCTTGTTCCAGGCCATTGTTGAGGTGCATGCGTATCATCCCAAGACTGATGTCCATGTCTGCCGAATACTTTTTCCCATTGATAGCAGGAGCACTGGCATGGATCTTCGTGCCTGCCATTGTCATGCGCGCCTTATACAGTACACTGTGACCACTTGAGGGTTCCTTTTGTCGTGGGGGTCCTTTATCAAGAGCAAGAGCATCGTTTAGATGCAGTTGTAGAGTTTCCATATTTTGTTTAAGATCGGACATTAAATGAGAAAATTCCGGTTTTGTTAAGGCGCCCAGAAGGCTTCGTACAGCGCTGGCCTCTAGTTGGATGAGCTCAATTGTAACGTCAACCTCCATATCCATACGGACTGAAGACATGTTCGCAACAACTCGACCGTTGATAGGTGGTATTTCTAACACCGATAGAGGGTGCCATCCATTGCCGTTGTTGGACAGGAAGGTGTGCAAATTTCTTTTTAAGTCGAAATCCACTTCAACTTTTGATCCCATAGTCGGTGCCATAGATGTGCGTGCCACTTCTCCAGAAATCACGTATGTTAAGGACGGCAAGATACGGAAACTGAGTCGATAATCACCTAAGAACATGGCGATATGGAATTTGTTGCAGACGGGCTTTCTTGCCGTTGAAATACCCTCACTGGATCGGTGAGCCGAGGGGTTTATGTTGCTGACAAGCCGATGAATATACCGAACTTCATCTTCTATAAGTCGGTCCGCAATGTGTGCGAGGCTCAACGGGTCTTCACTCATATCATATCGCAGTCTCTTGCTTGAGCCAGCAATTTTCCACTCATTTCCCAGCTCTCCTTCTTTTTCCTCAGAGACACGCGAACAATACAAATGAGGGTCACCAATCTTCCATGACATAATTACTTTAGAGAGATCTGATAGCTCGGAGGAGCACGCTTGCGCGCTTATTAGGGCACTCAGACAGTCTGGACCCCCGGTGCCGTCTAGTTTCTGAACAACCGAGCTTCTCAGGCCTCGCCCATTGAACGCAAGTTTGGCATTGATACCATCAAGATTTATGGACCCAACATCTGCGCCAAGCACGACTTGCAGCTCGTTGGATTCCTTTGGCTCGGTACACGAACCTTGGGCTGGTGTAGTGGATTCCAAGGTCACTGTAGACATTGTCCGTAACAATCCTTCTACTAACTCGAGAATCTCCCATCGCAGTCGGAGACTGATAGAAGAGCAGTAAGACTGCACAATCGTCAGGTTCGTCGGCCTTGCCTCGGCGTCCGAAGGAGTCCCATCCTGTGGGTTGATAGATAAAACTGTCGACAAATCCTCAACCACGAAATCACTTTCCTTTGGTCCGGGATCAATAGAGAATCGAAGTAACTTCACAGTGGAAGAGAAGAATGCTGGCGCTGGTGTACCCTCCATTTTCGGTACGAAGGAACTCCATACTCTTTGCATGACGTAACTCTTCCCAACATGCGCCAGGTCCCAAGCCCTCCATTCATCAAGGTTGGAGAGAACAGTAGTTCTGGCGTCTGGTGGCAATGAAAGATCATCGTTGAGACATCTTGAAGCCAACTCTTCCTTCTGGTGAGGGTGCAAATTATTGTATACATTACGTATCCGAGAGATTATCTTCCAAGAATCGTGCTGTCGTAAGTGTGTAGGTGCAACTCTGAGTACGGATGAGATCCGTGTAAGGAACGCGGGATCGGGTATGGTGGTAGCTGGTTGAGTAAGGAAATATATAAGGAGCCGTAGGCGTTTGTCCTCCAGGGACGAACTATGTTGTAGAGAGGAGGTAACAGAGTCAAACATTGTGGTTGTACGACGAACTAGATGAGCAAGATGTTCCACAGATTTTGTGAAAGTGACAGTGTCGAAAGCTCGAGCCTGGAAGTTCGATTTTATCATTGGCTTTGTCACAAGCCAAAAGTTCATGTCACCAAAGAGGCAGGTGAGTTCAGCCCTTTCTTGATATGCATCAGCTCGAGTACCCTCAACGGATACTGAAAGACTCTCGGCGGCGGCATGAACGGTGGAACTTTTTCTTATTCCCGCAAGAAGATCGCCTTTCTCTCTCTCAACTTCTGTCCTGATTTCTGTCTTCAAATGAGCGATCTCAACCCTATACTCATCCTGGAAACCGGATTCGTATTTGCTAGAGGCGTCAGATAAGTTTATCAGCTTCACAAGTATTACCGGGGTTCGAATTGCAACGCTTGTCGATTTCCTTGGATTTTTCAGTGACTTTTCGTAACCTACAATGTCGGATATAACATCCTTTTGGAGCGAATCAATGATGCTAGTTGGGTGTTTAGCTTGCAGTCCTTCAATCAAGGATGATAACATGAAAAGAAAGTCGGGGGTACAACTGCCCCGGACACCATTGGGTAGTTCGACTGCGAAGTTAGTATGGGTTGTCTTGTCTTCTGCAAAAGGCGAGAACTGAGGATCGAACTTTGTCACGAATAAGTCATATGGGCGGATGTCATCACTAGAGATGTGACGTGAGGGCAATTGTGAGGTATCCAGGTTGACTTTATAAAGTGAGAAATCAGGCATGGCCCAAGGATTTGACGAATTGGGAACAATGGTGGATGGATTCTTCTGTTCTGCAGCCGAATGGTTGGTGTGACTGGGCCCTGTATCCTGAAACGAGGTATGGCGCTGTCCTTCTTTTGATGCCAAACTTGAGGTGTAGATGGTGCTACGGTCTCCTCTTCTGCGTCCACGTTGCACGCTTGGGGCATCTGAGGAGACAAGGAAACCTTCGGAGCTTGTGAAACTGCTGCCGTCGGAGAATACACTTCTCTTTGTGGATAGGTGTCTCATGCTCATGTGTCTAAGAACAGGTTCGGGCATAGCAGGTATAGCAATAGTCGGTAGGGTGAAGTGATCATCATTAAGGTGCGTTGAATCAGGATCAACTTCCTCCCAGTTAAATAACAGCCATGGTGTTCTCTGTGTCCTTTGATCATGCACTTTGATGTGCTCCTGCTGTAATTTTCGGCTTTCCACTATGTCGTTCTTTCGCTGAGCCATTCTCAGCTTGATCGTTGTCTCAAAGAGCGCTAAAGGAGCCACCTCAGGGCTGTTTGGACTCCCCAGTCGACCAACGAGTTCATTATCCACTGCAGCGATAACGAGCTCAGGAACAAGAAGACTCATCCGTTTTGAAAATTTGGCATTTGTCCAGTCGTTAAATGTCGTTGTCACCGGCCCAGAGCTCAGTATGAAGGCTGCCTTGTCTAGAAGCACAGAGACATGAATCATACCGATCTTCGCTCTAAGAAACGTAACGTCGTGTAGAGCAAGGGGAAATAATGGATGCAGAGCATTCTCTTCGTTATCGAAAGAGAAGTCAAAACTCTTCAATGCTGGCCCTAAACAGGATAAGAACTCCGTCGAGCATTCTCCAATCACTCGACCTAGCTTGAAATCCCAGTTGCAGAGATACGTTGGCTCGGCAGGGGGGAGTCCAAACAAGCGATGACCATGAACAGAAACTCCATCGATGAAAAGTTGGGAGTCAGATATCCTGGCAGTTTTGTCTGCCAGGTGGGACTCCAGCCCGACTTTTAAAGGAGCGATTGAAAACTCCAAATCCATGTAGTAGTTGGTAAATCGCAGGTCGATCTCCAAAGAAGGAGCAGTGAGCCTTAGGCACTTCAGGCGGTCATACAAGTTTTCTGGGAGCAGAGCACAGGGACTATCCACGGTTACATGCACTATAACATCCAGATCGTTCGATTTCCTATTAGGGTTGATTCCGTTGTGTGACTCCGAGGGTTCCTTCGCGTAGGCGAGGTCCTGGAATTCTTCGAGAGTCTTGAAATGCATTTCTTCCCCAAAGTAATTCTCCTTGATTGTCATAAATGAACGAATCAAGAATCCAAACAAGTAAAGCTTAGGGGATAAACCCTCGATATTTAGGAATAAAGTGTCGGTCAACTCAGACGAGGTAGAAAGGTAATAGCTGTAAGACCCTTCAATGGACATCGTCTCTAGCGTGGCGGCCGATTTACCTTGCATGAAAGTGTGAAGAGTATCCCACAACGGGCTCAAATAATCTATACCAGCATCCTGAAGACGGACATTGAAGCTCACGGTATTGTGCTCTGGTTTATATTTGTTCAAAGGGATCAGAACATCAGAGGTCAATCTCTCGCCCTTGATCACCAGTAGGCGATTGTCGTCCAGATCAGATGGGTTACTGATGATATTCATGTCATTGACATTCACAAACAATTGTAGGTTTACAAAAGAAAGGCTCAACTTGTAGATGAATGGCACGAATGTGTAGTATTCTGCTGGAGGGCCGGATGCCCAATCGGCAACAAGATCCGTCAAGAGAAAGATGTGGTCTCGCAAAAGAAACAACTCCATGTCACGACTTTCGACATCAAATTTCCACGTACGCAGATCGTTCCACGTAAGAGGAACTGAAAGATCACATTTAATAAGTTGCTGAGGACATTGCCATAGCACTGCATGATTGACGCTTGATGACATTGTTGAGTCTCGAAGGTCTAGAACAAGTTGATTGAAATAACCAACTTTAGAAGCCACCATATCCATACAGTAGGTTATCGTCGAGTCGCCAGTCACGCGGAGAGACAGCCACCCAAAAGGCCGAATCTCGGGGCTAACATGACCCTTATCACTGTCTGCAGCTCTCGACTGTCGCCTTCGCTGTTGCTTCTTCATTTTAGATGCACCTCGTATTGCATCAGCGCGACCTTTCCACTGCCAGTCTTTGGAAGGTTCCCTTGTTGGAATACGTAACGTCAGTTCATCGGTAGTCTCCACTCGCAGTTTAAAGACAGAATTCTGTCTCAGATCGCCTGCGGTTAAAGCTCCGCCGGTTGGGAGTTTCGGTAGGAATTGGGAAAGAAGATGTTTTGCAAGCCAACCCGTTCGCGATCAGCCCACGGCCCGTAATTAATACTGCCTCCTTCGATCTTCACGTCAATGCCCCATTCTGGGGGTGGCGCGCCATTGATATCCGGGGTTCCTTCTCGGGGAGGGTATTCCTGCGGCAATCCTTGGGACTTGACACACCCAGGGATGTCCCAATAATATGTTATAGTCATACTAGGGCTATCCAAGACTGTAGAAAACCTGGCATATTCCACAGAATTCCATTCTTCGTGATCATCCTGGTTGGTGTCATCCAAGTATCGAGAAAGACCAACCCACCGGACATCATGGCGAGCATCCCCTTGGGCTCTCGGTCCCGCGTCTTCGTGCTTTTCGGATACATGAAAGGATTCCACAGATGTCTGAAAGTATGGAATAAGGTCACGAATACTATGCCATACTCTGCGCTTTTGGAAATGATAGTTGAAAATCGTATCCCTTTTGCGCTTTGTCCCGGGTTGGTCTTTTCGTGTGGAACTTAGTCCCTTCGCTGCAGAAAGCTGGTTCTGTTTGAAGTCTGGGTTTGGGCGCATCTGAACAACAGGGTGGGTGTATTCAAAGGAGAATGATTGCCGATAAAGATCAAGTGGCCCAGCATTGCATACTTCGACTAATCCAGTAGCGCCGTCAAAGGTTGTTGTCAGAACGGACCTGGTATTTTCATTGCCAATCACGATAGCCCCTTTGTCACACACTAGCCTCACTGGCAGAAGTCGAAGCAGCCTCGAAAGCCCATCACCCACTTCTTGGCTGGATCCTTCAACAATATGAGAACCAATTGTTTCCCCGCCAGTTCTACTACGTCCTGGAGTATTACCTGCTTGAGGAGATCTCGGAGGTGCAGAGTCGGTGACAGATAAGTTCCTAGTTGAATTATCTTTGAGCTCGGCATCCAAAGAGCTGCTGCCAGGGTACTGTGGCTTAGTACAGGTCGTTGGATGTCCTGTGGGGGTAAAGCCTGCCAGGATACCGTCATAGGCCGGTGTCCTATTGTATATGAACCACTCAAGCCCGTAAAATTTGACGGTAATGCGGCAAGGAAGGGAATCTGTGCCCTTCAATCCTCCTTGTTCCTTCATCCCACCGTCTCCGGCACCATCATTATCCCCATCCCCGACTGATCGCACATCATCCCTCGTTTCGTATGCATTGGGTTTCAGGTCGTACAGAGATGTCCTCCTAACTGATCGCCTCCAATAACGCCATGTTATAAAGCCCCCGTGAACAAATATTGTCTCATTCACACCGTGGTATCGGACACCCTTAAAGAAGATCCGTCCCCCAAGCAAAGAAATCTGAAGTGCATTGATGTCGACATATGCGCGATAATAATGCCATGTGTAGGCGCGGATTCCGTACGAGAGGAGGGTTGCAAAGAGACGATTAAAGTAAAGCAAGAAGAACAGTACTCTATCTATAATTAGCGACCTGCACTGGACTGCGCGGAGTTCGGTGACCTTACAATATGCAGGAAACGACGAGTTCAAGGAAGAAGAAACTATAAGGCCGTAAGCTACCAGTATACATGCGTTTTACCTGCCACTTACACATTGAAGCTTGGATCCGGTGTTAAGCCGAAGGTTAACAGACTCGTATTAGCCATTTTACAATATCCCAAGATCTCTGATGGCCGCGACCATGGCGGCGCGGGACGATCGACCTCCTTTCGAGTTGAGTGCGGAAAGGGATGCCAGTGTGATATTATACTGGTACGGTTATACAATGTCCCATAGTGGGACACCAACGAGGGAAGCAAGTTACAAGGCAAACGTCAATTCATTTCAACTAAGAAAGTAACTTTTAGGGGCCAGCGGAGGTCGCGATAACGGAATAAATCTAAATAAGGCGAGGCGCATATGCTTACGTCCTTAGGCGGTGTCACGGGCCCGCCGTAACTGAAACCAGTAGCTCCAATGATACTAGTAATAACAGCTTGGGTGATGATCCTCTTAGTCCACGCAACTTTTTCACAACGACCTCCCGTCTGGTCATGCGAGCGCTTTCCTTGTCTATGGAGGAGCTTTAGGCGGCTTTTTACGATCTTCAGTTCATTGGACGGGGTATGATTTGGCTTTGTTCTTTTCGCTGCTCTCGTTAAGGTGCGGAATGCTTTACCGGTGGACGCAAACCTAAAAGTACACGCGGTCGAGAACCGCGAGTCTTGTTGGCAGCAGTCACCATGTCATCCTCAGGAGGTACAGGCTCTAGCCTAGCGAAAGCTGTGGTGATTGTTTCCGGTGTTTCGTCCCTGGTGGCTTCACTTTTGTCGCTTCTGTGAGAGCATACCCTTCCCCGCATTATGCAACGCCCGATATGAGATAGCTTTTGCTAACATCTATTTTCTTACCTCAAAAGGTCAATATGGCTACAAACGTACGGACACCAATTTATTTTGGTCATCTCGATCTTGCACTGATGTATAACGATAAGGAAAAACTATCGAAAACCGCTCCTCCAACGATATGTTGTTCGTATACTTCTGATGTCAGTTGTCGCATTGTTGTGGAGGATCAGCGTTGAGCTAAACATATCAGGGTTCCTATATATGCGGCTGCTTCCTGGACAAGCATTGTATCGCTGAAGGCGTCTCTGTGGTTGGATCCTATTCGCGATGTTTATGAGGTATAACTGGCGAATTAGGCAGCTATGAACATTGCTGACGAGTCACCTTCAGGCCTTTACTATCTACACCTTCTTCCAGTTACTCATCAATTTTCTCGGAGGCGAGCGGTCCTTGATCATCATGACCCACGGTCGTCCTCCAGTACAACATGCCTGGCCGCTGAACCATTTCCTGCCCAAACTCGACATCTCCGATCCGCACACCTTCCTGGCCGTGAAGCGCGGTATCCTCCAGTATACATGGCTAAAGCCAATCCTGGCTATCGTATCTATCGTTATGAAAGCCACAGATAGCTACCAGGAAGGTTACTTGGGGTTAACCTCTGGTTACCTCTGGACCGGGATTGTGTATAACGTTAGCGTCACGATAAGTTTGTACTCGCTGGCGATGTTTTGGGTTTGCCTTCACAATGACCTGGCCCCATTCCGTCCCGTGCCAAAGTTCCTTTGCGTCAAACTCATTATTTTTGCCTCCTATTGGCAAGGTTTCTTCTTGTCCATCTTGCAGTGGCTCGGGGCTTTATCCAACGGTGTCGCGGGGTACACTCCTGACAATCTCGCCGCTGCAATTCAGGATTCCTTGATCTGCTTCGAAATGCCTATATTTGCGGTTACTCATTGGTATGCATTCTCCTGGCATGATTATGCTGACCCAACCATCTCCTCCGCGCGGCTGCCAGTAATATATGCGCTGCGGGATGCCTTTGGCATCAGAGACCTAATCGAGGACACAAAGATGACGTTGCGAGGCGATAATTATGCATACAGGTTATTCGACTCTGGAGACCACATTATGGCGCATGCTGAATCCGAGTCTCGGGTAAGACGGATGATGCACGGCATGCGATACGAGCGCGGAGGGAAGGGCAAGTACTGGATCCCTACACCGGGTGAAATCAATAGTCGCACACCGTTACTTGGTGGCGCTGAATCAAGTAGACGGGGCAGTCTCGTGGACCGGTTCCGCTCGCCCAGTGATGTTGAAGAGTCGACACTAGACGAGGGAGATGAACAGCTGTTCACCAAGGCTCGAGCGCTGGAGTTTGGTGACTGGAATGTACGTGAACCAGCTTTGTTTAAAGAACTTCCACGCGCTAACGTCGCCCAGTATCCGGTGATAACGGCAAATCAGGTGCCACAAGATCAGCGTTTGGCTGTTCCATTCAGCTACCAAGATTCGCAACAACCAGAAGTAGTGAAGAAGTCCCGCAAGCACCGAAAAGTGCGTGCGCCCGGCGGCGGAGAAACGCAGGCAAAGGGTGACAGCACACGGGGCAAATCACCCAGGCAGCGTACTGAAAATCGGGCTCCTCTTCAGCGGGGTCCGAGCTCTTCTACTTCTCAAAACTCACACCGCAGCCAATTAGTTGACCTTGTAGTTGAAGATCGAGAAGCCGAAGAGAAAGAACGATCTGAGCACCAGAGAATGACTGGTTCCGCGTTGTTAGAGCCAGAACATCGATATTTCCAGTAAGTGTTTCTTATTTGAAACCGTAGTCCTAGGGCTGATATAACTTTAATTTCCAGGACGCCATCCGGCCACCCATTGAGCGAGCAGTCTAAGATCACACATAGTGAGGGTTCTGGTTCCCCCAGTGAACGCGCAAGGCAGCCGACCGAGGGAGATGAGGACACAGCCAACGATGAATCAAAGACCCCAGGGTGGTCGTATGAAGGGTTGGAGGAGGAGAACGTTTGGGGTCAATGACAAGAGTGATCCTCGCTGCATATATGCATGGTTTGGGTTGGGTTATGTTTTACTTCCAACTTTCGGTGTATAGGTTTATATTATTCGGTTGTTACTTTTTTCTCTTCTTTTCTTCTTTGTTTCCCCTCTCTTTCTTTCTTTTTTTCACTCCTTGTTCTTCTGCTTCTACCCCATGTTGGTTTGTTTCGGAGGCATAGGGTACTTTTCTTTCTTGGTGCCTGATGAAATCATATATAAATAGCACGAAACCAGATAAAAGTAAATTTAGGGTATAGATGTCAACCACTGACCATGCGCCGCTCCTTCGGCAAGAGACTGGGTGAGACAGCCCATTTTCTGTGATAACATGGCACCATCCTGTCCAATGTCCACAACAATCACACGTCATTTGGGGGGTGAGAGTTGTGACTGGCGAAACGTGTTCGACGGATGCACCTTCAAATGCAAAAGCTCGATGGGGCAAATGGCAGTGCGTCCTTAGGCGCCCACCCTAGGTGCCTCAGGGAAGCCAAATCGTTTAGCGCCGTGATAACCAACAAATCACATGCAGGTCAGCACGCCGCAGATCGACCGCTTCAGACACGTTGTCGAGGAGGGGATCCAATCAAGGCAACGTGACGAGTCAGGAGACTCTCCGTTTGGTCTGGTACCTCTTTGTTCTCATCTCTTTGGTCTTATCAATCCAACTCATCATACTTTGACCGTCGCCCACAATGCATAAGCACAAAGGGACAGACCGTATCCGATTCGCTTCTGACCCATATTCTTACCACCGCGGGGTTGGTCACAAGGGTTTCAGTGCTGCTTTATGCCAGCCACCTAAGAGCTGATTGTTGTCCACCGGCTTGGGGTCCCTTTTTACTTGGGGCTTTTTGCCCGGTGTGCCCTGCCTGTCCCTCTTGGATCTGATTCTTTCCCTTCTCTTTCTTTCCGTACGGTTGGGACCCCACTGGATGATGGACCAACGGCTTGGAACCACTGGTAGCCATGAAGCGGGCAATTGAACAAGCAGGGTCGGTATGCGCTGGCTGGATCTCGTCCTGCTTGTTCTTCTGCCCGGGTTCGGGGGGCGATGACGAAAGCTTCCACCACCAACAGTCTCTGAAGCGAAAAGGTATGTATACCTAATATACCTGCTGAACATATTGCCTGCGGCAAAACCATAGGAAATTACTGACCATTCTCTTATCTTAGGTGACGAGCGAGAGATGAAAGTATGTCATACGCAGCCTCATCTCGTTCCCCCGATGAAGCTCGCCGTCGACAGTTCTCTCCCCAGGCCAAGTGCTCCAGCCTGGACATCGTCCACTCCATCACTGGAGCTGGATAGTAGGCTGTCATCGCAAAGGCCCAAACGAGCGAGTCTCGCTTTCAAGAGAAAGTCAACTGCTCCTTTACGAATCAGCGGGCCCTCGGAATTCAGAACAGTTTCCAGCTTCGCAACTTCTCCCAGGGGATTCCATCCCGATAGTTTTATCCTCCTTTCGCCTGGGCAATTTCGTCCCCTAGAGCTGAGCTTCGAGGCCTCCGGCAATGGACTGCCAGATCTTCCCGAGTTTGATACCTTTCAAGTAGAAGAAGAATGCCCAGTACTTACCCGGCCTTCGCGCACTCTGAGAACATGCGCTGATGTCTCCCGTATATCCCGCGCCAAATCCCACCGACCTTCTTCTTCCTTTCAATTGGTGCGGAAACCTGTTGGCTCTGGATCCCGGCGATCCTCTCTAGCTACTATGGAACAGCTCATGGACAAACAAATTCCTTCCAATAACCCCTTCGTCCCCCACTTCTCTACCCGCTCACATGCAGATAAAGATCCGACTGCAAGTCAACATCATCCTGGTCACACTATGCTGGACACACCCAATGGTTGCGGATTGGTAGTATCGAATCGGGAGTCTTACAAAGAGCCACAAGCAAGCAGAGTCACCATACCCCCTAGGACTCCTACAAACACCACCAGCACCAACCTGCAGGACAGGCCATTGCCCCCTATCCCAGTGGAAGATTCTCCTTCATCTGGCACCACTCAACGACCCCCGACGACACCGACCGAGACCCGGCCACCGACCACTCCTTCCGAGAATCGTAATCCTAACTCAGCAACAACAACACCCACCCGATCCGGCCGTGTCACTCAATGGCTCTTCCAGTCAAGCAACAAGGCCTCACCCTTCTCTTCTTCCACATCCCCTTGGAAGTCCACTTTCACTGACAAAAATCCCTTCCGCATCCGCTCCCGTACCCTTAGTGGATCCACCATTACCTCAAGC